GTGAGAGGCAAATGTGGAATTTGAACCCAGGCAGTCCTGCCCATATAACTCAACTATGGCTTGTCATAGCTCCTCAACATAGGCCATATCCTGATATCCCAGTTGCTTGAAATCTCACCTCACCCCGGTTTCAACAAGTGATATCTACCTAACAGGAGGGTTTTTCTTGTGTGTGTGGGCTGGGGTGGGAGAGCAGGAAGATACCATCCTGCTACTTGCAGTCCCTTGAACGTGCACTTTCCCACCTATCTTTGTTATTCTTTCTGTCGGGGATGATCTTTTCCATTGCCATCTATAGAAATCCTACAGATGCTTCAAGAACCAATTCAAGAACCACCTCTCTCTTGATTTTCCTGGACACAAACAATCTCGTCCTTCTCTGTGCTTCCACATAAATTCATTTATAAATTATTACTTTTTACTAAAATTTAAATTTTATAAATTATGTGCTTCCACATAAATACATTTATAAATTATTAATTTTACTTTTTTAAATACCCAACATAAAGATTACCAATACAATTGAAGTCCCACTGTGGCCCTCCTAGTTTGTGTCAGTCTTCCTACCCTCAGGAATCACTGGTCTCCTAAATTTGGTATTTGTTCTCACCATAGTATTCAACTCATATAAATGTTAACTTGTTATAAACGCATCTTGCTTGTTTCACTCAACATCATGATTTTAAGACTCTTCTAGCTTTATGCAAGTGGTTCATTCATTTTTTGTTGCTATATAAATGTCATTTATATGAACATTGTAATGTTTCTTTCTTCTCTTGTTAATGGACATCTGGATTCTTTCTGACTCTTTTGCTCTAAGAAACCATGTTTACACTCAAATCTGTGTCCTCATGGACTTTGAAGACTTTCTCTGGTAAATAGGTATCAGGAAGGATAACGTGGCAGTTAAGACTTATAGGGCCAAGAGTTGATTAAGATGTAAACCCAGAAAGGTAAAATAAGCCTTGGTGGCTAGTTTATTTCTTATATGAATATCTGAAGGCTTCAGGAAGGCAACTGTGAGACTGAAAAACTGGGCAGCAGTCTTTGTCATCCTCTAAGGACCAGGGGACAAAAACTGGAGTATAGGGTGTGCAATGGAGGAGCCCATGAAAAACTCTCAGCTATTTCATCAGGGCCCCAAAGAACCATACTGTAAGAGTAAGAATGGATAACAAGCAAAAATCGAGATAAATATCAAACAGTGAAACAGACATAAAGGGAACCTAGATAATTTACTCATTAGAAAGATTCTAAAAGTATCTGTTCTTACTATGTTAAAGGAGAAAAATGACAAGATTGAGAATCTCATCAGAAAGCTAGAAAATAATGAAATTAGCAAATAGAAAATCTGGAACTGAAAAATATAATAACCAAAACTAAGAACTCAGGTGGTGGCTTTAATAACATAAGAGACACAGCTGAATAGAGATTAAGTGAACTGGAAGATAGATCAAAAGAAAATATCCATAATGTACACCAGACTGACAAAACAATATGGGAGGTCTATAGATTGCAGTGAAAAGAACTAATATAAATGTGATTGGAGAAAAAAGAGTAAGAAAGTGTGTGTCAATATCAGTGTTTAGAAAGTATCTGTGTAAGAGATGAGAAAGGGAGAAGACAAAGGGGACAGGCCCCATGAACATAGGGGCAGAGATTTGAGTGAAGCTGCACAACCAAGAGGAACCTCTGGAGCCACCAGAGGCTAGAAAAGGCAAGAAAGGATTCTTCACTAAGGTCTTCAGAGGGAGCATGGCCCTAATGATCCCCTTATGTTGGACTTTTGGCCTCCAGAACTATAAGAGAATACATTTCTGTTGCTTGAAGTCAATAAGCTTGAGAAAATTTGTTATGGCCGTCCTAGAAAACTAATATGGGATAGTAAAGTCAGAGTGAAGAAAGTAATTAGGCTTTATTTTTTTAAATATATTTTATTTATTTATTTGAGAGAGAGAGACCACAAGCAGGGGGAGTGGCAGAGGGAGAGGGAGAAGAAGACAACCCACTGAGCAGGGAGCCCAACGCAGGGCTCAATCCCAGGACCCTGGGATCAAGATTTGAGCCAAGGCAGATGCTTAACCAACTGAGCCACCCAGGTGCCCCAGCAATTAGGTGTTAATTGAAAGATGTGAGCTTTGTCCTGGACATGCTTGCCAGTATCCTTGTGGCCATGAGTAAGTCACTTGGCCTCTCTGGGCTGTTTTCCTCAGCAGCCCATGAGAAGGTGGGCCTGAATGATCAGAGGCGTCTGCCCACTCCAAGTTTCTGAGAGTTCCTTTCAAATTCTGTTCTGGCTAGCCTCAGACCCCCGATCTTCCTGAGGCTCTCAGGGGCCTGGACAATGGGCTGAGGCATGGCCTCTCCCTACGAAGTGACCACCAGGGCTAAGAAGGCGGGCATCCTCCCTCTAGAGACCAACATTGGGCCTAGGACTTGGTCTTATTTGATGGGACACCTGGATAGAGTGATATCATAATGCTCCTTTTCACAGGACACCAGGCTAAAAATAGCCCAGCACTGTACAGAGGGAGAACCAGTTGTCACAGTGTGGAAGTTGAAGGTTAAATCACAGTCTGCTTCCTCTCTGGATTTATTGCCGCTGGTGGAGCATCCCTGGTCACTGCTGTGGGGGAAAGGAGTGAGGTGATGTCTGAGATTGCAGAGTCTGTCTCCGTCTTCCCATCATCAGAGACTGGCTTGGGCAAAGGAAGAGTTTTTAGCTCAAACAGTGTTTCTCAGAAGGAGTGGCCCTCTTTGCCCATCCCTCGCCCCCATAAACATCGTCCTTCCCGGCTGGCCCTTGGCAGGCCCGTGCCAAGTGTATGATCCTCCACTGGGGTGGAGTCAATTATCACTGATTGAGTGAAGAGGATTCTGGGGCTTGGTTTGGGGTAGAAACAGCCATCTTTGTTCACTTGAAAATGTCGAGACTGTTCCTGCAGACTCGTACTGGAGCATTACGCACCACCGCTGTGCTCTGCTTACACTATTAGGGAGGCATGAGACTGAGTCAGCACGGCCTGTGCTCTGAGGATCTGGGATGCACCAGGAGGCCAAACCCGCCCTGTCTCCTACCTACTGCAGGGTCTCAGACCAGTGCCTTGATCCCTCCGCCTGCAACCCGTGCTCAGCAAAATGTCACGCGGAGTCAGGTTTGCTCCACTCATCTCTGCGGGGTAAGATCTACTGAGGGGGCTTAAAATACCCTATTTGGGAGAATAGGCTTGAGACTTATTACAAGAGCTTATAAATGCTAAAAATAAAAACTAATCCCAAAGTGTGACATCTACATTACATTTTAACAGGAGGACTTTTACATTTGATGAGAAGCTTAAAAGAAGGATGTTTCAAGGCAGCTTAGGTTTGTTGCATCTATCACTAGGGTCCCTCCTTGTGTTACTGCCCATCTTCTGCGCCATCTACTCCTTCGAATGATCTGGGGAGGTCTGGAAGTCAGATACTGTTTACAGAGGAGGAGCCTGAGAAGGTAAAAGGGCTAAGCCTCCTGGTTTCCTGGAATTGTTATATGGCAACTTGGTGTTGTAACCTCAAGTCCCTGGTCAGTGAGATAGAAGTGGTGTCGTTAGGGCAAGTCGCTCTGGTAGTATTTGCGTCATGAAAATAATCTTTGAAGTGTCATTAGCCAAGGCTTATCGAGCACTCCCTATGTACGACCATGCTAAGCCCTTTCATAGATGGTCTCCTCCGTTCTCACAAAAACTATGTGAAGGTACTATTATTACCAACCCTATTTTACCAGGGAGGAGGATGAGGCACAAGGATGGGAAGTGACCGGCCCACAGTCCCCCAGCTAAAAGGTGAAAGAATCAGAACATGAAGCCTGCCAGTCTCTCCCTAGCCCGGGCCCTCGATTATCAATAATAACAAGATAACTGCAGCAGGCTAAAACAATGCCAAACCCAGCACATTATTATTTAAAATCTTATTATTTTAAAAATGCATCTAATCCCTCCTGCAAGATTTCCCAATAAGAAATGAAAATATTGTGTCCATGCTGCTTTATTTTTTTATGCAACTGAATATTCTAGTGAATATAGAGCGAGAGAATTATCTTTTATTGTTCACAGAAAGAAAGTTGACATGTGTTCAAAATAATTGCTCGGTTTCTTTATCTGATCCAGTTTCTTTTTGCACTGAATTCTGAAAAAGAAGAGAAAAATGCACTACTTGGATCAAATCATTATCAGAATCGAGACAAGGCCTGTGGGCATGTTATTGCACAACGTATTTTAAAATTACGCCTCAGTTTGACAAGTCATAAATGCCCCAAATCGGTACTTATTTATTTTTGCAGTATCTAATTGGGCCATTCAGGCTGTGTGAGTGCTGTGGCCTCAGGGAACCTCTTCCCCGGCTTTCACCCATAGCGCTCTGTCTCCCAGCATCTGGGCAGCTTTCTCCGGCACCCTGGCCGGCCCATGCCCCGGCTGCTGTCAGCAGGTCAGCATCAGGCCCCAGGGAACGCACCATCATGGGAGACGGAGGAGGCCCAGAGCTGCCCTTGTACATGGACTTCACCTCCACAGGCCTGAAGACCAAGGAATCTCCTTGGATTTAAACTCTGGGTCTCAGAACACTGTTGAATGGGTGGGAGTGGGCTGGCCTGGCACTACTCTGAGATGTTCTCGCTCTAAGGTGCTCCCCCTCTCATGCCAAGCCTGCCCGGGGGGGCTTTTCCCTCATCAGAAGGGTCAGGTGAGAAGTCCTGAGGATCAGCTGGGCCAAGGGGGGCTCTCATTCCCTCACAGCCCCTGCCAGAGATGCCTGCAAAGAGCTAGCATGGGGGCAAAAGCTGCATTGTGTGCTGGGTGGGGGGTCTCTGTGGTGTGCAGAGCAGGGAAGGGAGGGGGTGGAGGGCCCTCCGAGGTTCCAGGTGGCCCCCATGCTCTTGAACTGCCACCCCTCTGGCTGGCTCTCACTCCCCCTCAGTCAGACACAACGTTTGCTTGGAGGAGAACAGTTGCAATGGCACTGACCTTGGACTGTCCTACTGGGTGTTATCGTCCGTGTTTCTTCCGTTCCTTGGCTGGAAAAAAAAAAAAGAGCAGCTTACAGATACTGAGACAAAACTGCCTGGAACCTGTTTCTGGGCTTCAGGTCCTTCCTCACCTGGGCCCTAAGGCCTCGTTCTAATTGGGATGTCAGCAGCCTCCTTGGGAGTTCACCTGGGAAGCCCTCGCCCGGGGCGAGGATGTAGGTCCCCTGTGGCAGTGCCCCAGGACCCTTGCTGTTCCTCCAGCCCTGACATTGACCCCTCCCCTTCCCCCCACCCTGGCCTCCACTGATGCAGCAGGACGGTCTTCAAACCATTTATCAAAGGACTTCTCACCCTGAAGACATCATGGAGACCCACGGTTTCTCAAAGTACTTTCTAGAGAACAACCACTAATAGGTCATACAGGCAGCATGGAGTGGAAGAACTTCCATGATCAAACACGGTGGAAACTATGTTTCCCACAGCTTTCTTATATAGTTCCTGCAGGACATGCCGGTGTGCACTGTGAACCTTCGAGAGTGTTGGGTGCAGTGTTTCCCAAGCTTGTCTGATCTTTGCACCAGTGACCCACAGAATACAGTTTGAGGGGCAGGAGTCTGTCTGATTCGTGGTCTGATTTTTTGGATGCAAACCCTTGAGGATCTAGGGGATGAAGCATAGCTAATGAGTGGTGGATCACAAACTAAGACAGTTTCTGATTCTGTGACCTTTGCAGGAGGCTCGGAGACCCCAGGGAAGGAGGAGGGCATGGCGCCTACACTATTTGGGGGCACGTATCCTGTACCTTCATGCTCAGGGACACAGATGCCAATTCTGGCTGGCCCCGTGTCTGTCCAACAGCAGCATTCCTGCCTGCCACCCACGCTCCCAGAGCTCTGGTTCTCTCAGCCTATGTCCTTCTGCACCCTTTCTTTCATAAACATCAGGTTTCTAGGAGGAGACTTTGAAATTCACTCCTAAGGAAAGGATGAGAGAGTCCCCATAATTATTCACCAGTTTGCCATGGGGTGCTGGGCTGTGCTCATTCTGGAGGAATCCATAATTGTGTGGCAGGAGGGAAATGGGGTTAAAAACAGAGAAAAAGAAATGCTATACCCTGAAAAGGAAAAATGGTCGTCCCCGGGTGGCAGTGTGATCCTGCAACATAAAAACACAAACCATTATGCAACCAGTTTGTGCCAAAGTTCTGACGATGTCTATGACCGCAGTTTTCAAAGTGTGGTCCCCAGACCAAAAGCGTCAATGACACCTGAGACTTAGTTAGAAATGCAAATTCTCAGGTCCCTACTGATGCCCTAGCAGTCAGAATTTTAACAAGATCCCAAGGTATGGATGACTCATGGTCAACTTGGAGAAGCGCTGGTATACGGGGCTTATGCACTCGCAGTACCTCTCCCCAAGTTTGTACAACTGCCATGTGGGCCCCTGAGCCACATCAAGCAAATCCTCAGGAACAGATGGGCCCAGGTGACTCATCTGCAAGGCTGGAGATGAAATATAAACAGCAAGAAGCATTGCTCCAGGAGTCCTCTCTGCCTCAGGACAAGCTCAGGAAAACCTGAAATTAAATGCTCAGCCTCAGAGAAGATTTTCAGGGGCATACTGTGAGACCAGTTCTTTCCAGAAATGATCTAAAGGGGTGACAAGATTGCCCATCTCCAAGCACTTCTCCACAGGGCTTCCATACCTTCTTGGTGAAATCCACTGTGGCAGTCCCCGAATCCTGGAAGGGAACGAGGCACAGGTTAACGTAACAAGAACCGCATCCCCCAGGCTTGCAGTCATTCCACTGCGACCCTGTGCATCCCTGGCTCCATCCTCTGGTACCAGAAATCGGGGGCAAAAAAGCAGTTTAGGGGAAGGGCTAACTATGTAACCAATTATAATTGCCTGTTCCGGAAGACAGGCATGTTCTTGATTGAGGTACCATTTGCGTCCAGGACAATGTTAAATTGGCTTGCTCTTCCCAACAGCGTCAACTTGAAATTGACCCCCCATCCAAGGGTATGCCCTGGCAGCTTCTTCAGCTTGTCTTTGCTTGTGGGTCTGGCCTAACAACAGATCAGACTCAATCGGAAAGGCTTTGGGGAGCAGCGGGATCAGATAAGACACACTGCTGCCAGTGCTTAAAATGACCAACCCATTTCCCAGGAACTGAGCAGCTTCCTGGGGCTCTTGGGATTTTCAGAGCTAAAACCAGGAATGTCCTGGGTAAACCTGGATGAGTTTCAGCATTCGAAAGAAAATGGTTTTTTTTTCTTCCTTCCTTCCTTCCTTTCTTTCTTTTTTCTTTTTGGCTACCATGTAATAAAACTTAAATTAGCATTTCGAACAACTATACCTATTACGGAAGCTAGTAATTTCTAAACTGAAAAAAACAAAAAAAAAAGAACTATGTCTAAAGAAACAAAGTTCTGAGATAGGACAAAAGGGCAGGTGGAGCAACAACGGGGAGCCCAGGGGATCACCAAGGCAATGTCCATGTCAAGAGGAAGAGGACGGGTCGGGAAAGTAAAAAAACAGCACGGAAACTAAAAGGAAACAAATGGTAGAGAGCGGAAGAGGACGGCTTTGTCCTAGGGGCGTGCCCGGGGAGCCCTGCAGCCACTCTGTGCGGTTCAAGGGAGGGGACTGTGGCGCAAGGTAGGGCCAGCTCCTTCCCAAGGTGGAGGCTGAGATTCAAAGATAGCCTGCAGGGCGCCTGGGTGGCTCAGTTGGTTAAGCGTCTGCCTTCGGCTCAGGTCATGATCCTGGAGTCCCGGGATCGAGTCCCGCATCGGGCTCCCTGCTCGGCGGGGAGCCTGCTTCTGCCTCTGACCCTCTCCCCTCTCATGTTCTCTCTCTCTCTCTCATTCTCTGTCTCAAATAAATAAATAGACTAAAATCTTTAAAAAAAAGATAGCATGCAAATGAGCCTCCCCTTCCCCCTATTCCCCCCTCCCCCCAGCGACCACACGCATTTACCACGGTTAAGTGAACTTGGGGTGGCATAAAAAGAGGCCCCAAGAGAAAAGCACCTACGCGCTGTTGCGGAAATCTCTTCACCCTCCGGTCTTCGAGCTGCGCGGCCAGGCGCATTAACGGGTGCACGGGAGGAATCTGCAACAGAGGCGGCGGGGGGTTCGGACGCCCGCCCGGGACGCAGCCCAGGCTACGCTGCCCTCTCCACTCCCTCCCTTAGATGGGTTTAATGTCCAGAATAAAATCCATGTCCACGCCTTAGGTTTTCAATAAAGAACTGCTTGCCTTTATCGCAGGTTACAATTCCAACAGCTCACTTACAACTATTCCCTTAGGGTAAATCAGACTTTTCTCTGCCTTATCCCCAGGCGTTCTGTCTTCCTAGGGTGGAGTGCATGGTCCTTTTCCGCTCTAGGTGTCTCTCCTAGTCCAGGGGAGGAGGTGGAAGGACAGTTTCCATCCATGGAACAGGAGTTTCAGTCCCCTCTCCCTAATGCGTTGGATTTTCCTGCACTTCCTGTCTGTGGCTGGGGCACACACTCAGACATACATACCCGTGTCTTATACCTAGTCTTTGTGAATCCTCCCTGAGTATTTTGGCTTAGAGTAAAGGTTCATTCGTGTCACAGAGTTCATCTTCCTCCTTCCATTGTCTTTTTTCCCTTTGTAGTGCCCTTAGCCCTTCCTGTTACTATCCTTATCCTCACCTGATCCTCATTCCTAAACCTATACTACAGATGAGTCTTTGCCTCTTAGGGAAAAAACACTTCACTGGGTATTTTTTTAAGGTATTTTTCTTGAAGACGTGGAAAATCTTGATTATATAAGTAAGTGACTTTCTAATGGTAGAATTTCAGTTACTAAAACAGAACCCCTGAATTAAAAATTTTATGCTATGACCTTCCTAAATTCCTCAAATCATGCTCTGCAGAAATTCACTTACACAACCTGCTTCTGAGGGTAACTCAAGTTTCTAATAACAAAGTTAGAGGTGATGCATGTATTCCCATAGCACATACATACAGTGATGCTTATAGAAGGTGCACCTGCATGGATCACTATTGGGGATATGGCACTTTACACTTCACGAAGCACTTTTTAAAATTAAAAAAAAAAGGTAATATGATAAATGTAAATTGAGCTCAGTATTTATCAGGTCTTTTTCAAACATCTGTTGAAGTGCATAATAAAAAGTTACTCCTCACTTATTTTTCCTTTTCTAGAATATAGTCTCTAACTTTTCAGATTTGTCAGCCTCCCACCACCCCAGCCCAGACCGGGACAGAGAATCCCTGAAGCCCCAGGAAAAAGCTCTTATAAAGCTATTACACAGACAGTGTCTGCAAGCTCCCTGCTTTTCTACTTATCTGCACATATTAATTAGGACAGGATAAAAGACAAGCAGAGGAGAGTCACTTTTACAGAAAGATGAGTATGGCAAAATACTGACCCCACTTTTAACTGGCTGTGTCGGCTTCTGAGTTCTGGAGTAGTGAAATAAAAACTGAATAAAAAAAAAAAAGTTGAGTTTAGTACAAGTGTCACTTGGTATAAACGTGAAAGTTACATGCCTGCATTGCAGACTGGGTGGTACTCACCCTTTTGTATATGTCTTGATTATCCTAGAAAGAGAGTTGTGAGGGTAAGTTACATGGAATTTTACTTGGGTAGGCAATTGATGAAATTTTCAGTATAAGTTACACCATGGACCTTATTGAATTTATCTGAATATTATGAAATAAATTGGCAGTCTAAAAAGAAATCCAAACTTAATAAGACTATAGTTGATGCAGGGTTTTACAAAAAAGCAAGTTGCCAGCAATACATCATTATTTTAAGACTGAATCTCATTTTACCTTTCGAATCTTGGGGAGAAAAACATGCTCTGTGGCTCATAGAAGCAATCCCCTAATTAATTCCCAGATAACCATCAAAGAGTTGGAATAAAATTAATGATTGCAATTTTTAATTTTTTCCTGGGTGTACTCTAGAATTCAGTTTTTTGGGGGGTTGGTTTAAATCCACCAAACTCTCCCTCCCGCCCCCGCAAAAAGCTTTCTACATGAATCTCCACTCTTCTTGCAGAAAGCCCAACTTTTCATTTCTAAATCCTTGTTAGAGCACCACCTGGCCCTTGTTTACATGGATGACAGGTGGGGATGGTTGTATTTGCAGCATATTCCACTCCAGGATCTTGTTGTGAAAAAGACATCTTACAAAATAATAAATAAGGTTTCCATGTCTGCATTTTATAAAATTGCTTGAAATGATTACTGTAAATGATATTTTAAATCTGCTGATCTGGTTAATATTGCTCATTCACATCTCAATCACACTGAAACCTTTTTGAATCAGCTCAAACTTAAGACAGAAATGAAAGTTGTTGATAACACTTCTAATTTGTTGCTGTTGATACAATTACATCTTCCTACAAACTGTGAACAGTTTCTAATGGGAAGCAGCCCATGTTTATGTATACTACACACACACACACACACACACACACACACTTGCCCTGTCATGTATGTGTGAGTGTATGTGTGTTTCCTGAGCACGCATTGGGCAAACAATTGATTTTATGTACCGTATTCAGCAGCTTTATACTGTTATGTTTCAAGCCAAAAAATAACAAGGAATATGAAGATGCTTTTCCAGGTGCTCACACACCACTCTCAACATTTCATATGCACCTTCTTTGCTTCAATTTTTTCTTTTTACAGAAAAAAATATGCTTACCTCTCTAACTTATTATTTATTTCCCCAACTAGAACTGAAGTTTCATGAGAGCAGGTAGTTTTGTCTATTTTGATTACTACTGCATCTTTAGCACTTAACACATGCCATGCTCTCAATAAATATATTTTTTTTGAACGGATGAATAGTAGAAATGTGTTCACAAGAATCTGTTGCCCCCTTTCCTATCTAAACTTCTGCTCTCACCAGGAACACAAAACAGGAAGACTTTCTGCAGGTGTCATTATCTGTAGAATGTAGCTCTGCTTTCTGAATTGCTTCAAGATAAAAGTGCCCTGGAGACACAGACCTGGCTTTTCTGGAGACCAGAACTGGTAGTGGACTTAGAGCCCAGGTGGCTCATCCGGACATGGGATAGTTGAGGGAACCAGAACCCCAGAAGAGGAGGTGACATGCCAAAGGTCCTATTTTAATGCAGCGGCAAGACCAGGAAGAGCCACAGTGTCTCTGTTAATAGATTTAAAATATTGACAGTTTTGTTCACTGAACAACCCTTTGTTCTTCTATGACTGGAGATAGTGAACAGGATCAGCTTTGGGAAAATGGAGAAAGTGGACAGAAATTCATTCCAGGTGGGCCTTTCCTCTCAGGGAAATGCACAACCCAATTTACTACCGTAGGTGGCCCATGTGACAGCTCCACTCCACTTCTGCTCCTGCAGGGGACACCCTCAAAGCCTTCATGTGGGGGACAGGGAAGCCCATTCTGTGCGAAGTGAAGAGGCAGTGGCAAGGAGATGGAAAACTTTGAATTTTCGCCCTGAATTTTTGCTCTGGGTAGCAAGGCTGTAAAGATTAGTTCTAAAAATAAGGGAGGACAATTGTCCTCAGACATGCGCATAAGGATAAACTGAAAATAAGGAGAAATAAGCATGATATATTTGTGAAGCTTAAGATAGAAAGTAAGGGCGCCTGGGTGGCTCAGTCCATTAAGCGTCTGCCTTCGGCTCAGGTCATGATCCCAGGGTCCTGGGATAGAGCGCCCCATCGGGCTCCCCGCTCAGCGGGCAGCCTGCTTCTTCCTTTCCCTCTGCTGCTCCCCCTGCTTGTGCTCTCTCACTCTCTCTCAAATAAATAAATAAAATCTTTTAAAAAAAATTTTAAAAAAGAAAGAAATGTTTGAGTCTTGAGGAACGGCCATTAGTTGCATCAGGGACAATGGTAGCAGCTGGTACTTAAGTGCTGTCATTTATTGTGTTCTAGACACTGTTGAAAACACTTCACAAGGATTCAAGCACTCAATCCTCACAATAACATTATGAGGCTAGTATAACTATTATTCCCATATTATAGATGGGGAAACCAAGAAACAGAGAGATTAAGAGATTTGCCAAAGTTAAGGAGATGTAGGTTTTGAACCCAGGTACTTTGGTTTTAGAGTCTGAGCTGTTAACACAGCCTGCAAAGGCATTTTTGGCTAAGGAAACACCTGTGCAAAGATATAAGGGCCTGATGCATTTGGGGAATAATGAGAAATTCCATGTGGCCAGGACGCAGTATGCTGTGGCTTGGGAGAGGGGAAGGAGGAAGAAAGGATATAGCTCAAGGTGAAAACATGTTAAACATGAAAAGATTCAGTTTATGCTTAAGAATCACGGGCTCCACCCTAATACCACCCTCTTGCACTCTTGATTGAATCAGCATTTACTTTGTATCCACTGAAACATTTCTGTTGTGGTTACTATCAGTGTTAGGTCCTTTACACAAGATCTATTGTTTTGAAGAACTATTATATTATAGTATATCAATTATAATGTATGTCATGATATATCATAACATATATAATTAATGTAATTATACATGTATACATTATTATGATAATTATAAAATATACATGAACTACCAATATTTTATGGTATTTTATATTTGAGAGATTCACTTGTTATTTCCTAAAACTACATTCTTACCCACGGACATAGATGTTCACATAGACTTCTCCTATAGGTAGCTTATTACAGATATCAATTATGGTATAAACATGTGCACTTATAACTAAAAGAATTATTATATGGGGGTGCCTGGGTGGTTCAGTCAGTTAAGTGCCTGACTCTTAATTTTGGCTCAGGTCAGGATCTCAGTGTTGTGAGATGGAGCCCTGTAGTCAGGCTCCAGGCTCAGTGGGGAGTCTGCTTGAGATTCTCTCCCTCTGCGCCTCCCCCCACTCACAGGTGTGCTGACTCTCTCTCTCTCTCAAATAAATAAATCAATCTTGAAAAAAATAAAGATAAAAATAAAAGAATTATTATATATATACTTTTTTTTACCTTAAGTTGCCTAGAAAGAGTTGCCCAATATGCCAGACGCTAAAGAAAAATATGAAAAATGAATCAAAGATCAGAATAAATTCCTTAGTCAATAGCAATCTATTAACACACATATAAAATTCTAAAATTGTTGCATTTATGAACCTTGCATTATCTTCTCACACAGTGGCAGTGAATTTCAACACAACTCTCAGGATGGCTTAAATGAGGCCATTAAAATGGCAACATGAATTCCTGCTGCAGCCAAGAATCTGATCTTAAAATAGTTTCAAGTGAACATTAGCCACATGATATTTTCAAGGCCAAGACTAAATAAAAATCTCACATTACTGAACAGTAGTGTACCTCAAGCTGCATGACATCCAAGCCATCTGGGGGATCAGCTAGAGGTCGAGGAAATCCTACTGTGAAAGAAACCATAAAAATAATATTGGGGGGGAAGGTCATAGCATTAACTTTTAAATCTTTACCATGAAAAACATACAGAGATTCTAGAAATACAATATTTTTTAAAAGGATTTACAAAGAAAACACACTTCTACCTACCAACAGTAAGTTGAGATTTGTACCAAAATTAGTTAAAAACAGTGTTTTTTTATTTACAAGGAGTTAGCAGTATAAGAGTTAGTAACTCAAGAAAGAGGGAAAAGATATCTGGGTAACAACTCAATTTGTATTTTGATGGAATTCATGAAGATAAGATATCAGGAAATGGTGTCAAGAAAGTATGTGCATCAAAATCACTCTTGGAAATTTTAAGAAATTCAGATACTCATCTCTGTGCCTTATCAGACTCCTCAGGGGTGGGTTCTGGGCGAGGCTGTTACCAGCACGCGGCGGCACTCTATGCCAGTCAATCTTTAGCTGGCCTAAATGAAGTCTTCTTCTCATTTGGGCGTGATACAATACTTGGGAGAATAGCTAATACAGCAGTTGAAGGAACCAATTGGATAGATGAAATTAAATGGGATGAATGTAAAACCCTGAACTTAGATTTTTTAAATATAGGACAGGGAATATCTGGCTCAAGAGTAGTATATATATATTTAAAATACTTAAAATATTTTGCTTCCTGTAATCTCTCTATGAGCCAAGAAAAAGCTAAGACAATGTTGTGCTATACAGAAATAATAGTGTCCAAGCTTTGAAAGGTAATAATCCTACTTGAAATGATAGAATATGTAGTTGAGTTAGAGGTACAAAGAGTAGTTTTCTTTGGCAAAGAGGAAAATTAGGAAGTGTATGCTAACTGCTTTCAATTATTTTGAGAACTGTCATAAGAGATATTAGTCCTATTCTGAATTCCCAAAGGATAGAAGTAGGGCTTGTTATGGTTAGAAGTTACATGTGACCAGATTTCAGCTTAGCGTAAAGAAAATTTTGATGATTGGAGCCATTCAAAAATGCAGAGTAATTTGAACCAATCCTATAAGGATTTATTAAGAGGTTCTGTGTTAACAGTACAATGATAAAGACCATAGGGACCTACCCTCAGGAAACATAAAATCAAAGAGGAAAAGGGGGAGGTGGATATAAATATATAGACAGATAAAAAGTAATAACAAAGTCCCAAAAGTGTAACACAAACAGATGCTATTGGAGCCCAGAAGAGGCAGCTGGTATTGAGTTGGGTGTCACTGAAAGTAATCAAATAGGGAAATCATAGATCCCTGCTCTCCATGAAAGGTTAGATGACTTTCAAGGTTCCTTGCAATGCCTAGGTTTTGTGATTACACTACAGGACATAGCAAAACAAACACACTATTTGAAATATATTTTCTGTTTGAATATATTTTCAAAGATTTTCTGCACCCGAGATCAAAATTCTAACGACAAAATCTGAAATTTTGAAATAGTCCCTGCTTCCAATTGGAGCTACCACCACATGCTTCCCTGCATCATTTGGCAATTACCTTGAAATGGGTAACGCATTCTGACTACTGACCCTATACCCCACCCCTGGTTCCCTGCAATCCTGCGGGTTCTCAGAAGTTAGTGAAGCGACACTCGCTTCCAGTCAGAACCTCGGACAGCGCCCAAGCCCGGGAAGACTGGGGGCCTCCGCAGCTCTGTCTGGGATCCTGCCTCCTGCGACCCCACAGAAAGGCTATGAAAATATTCCCTTTTTCCTGTTTCTGCTCCCTCCCCGCCCCTTTCCAACTGCCCCTCAATCCTCAGTCTTTGGGTCTGTAAACTCAGTCTCACCGTGTCTGTTCTCTTCTCTTCAGAATTCCCGGAGTACAGATGGCTAAGAAACTGGGGTCCTCAACTCATATCCCTCACAGTTTTAGTGGCACATCTTTGGGACAGCCCTGAGTCAGGAATTGTTTAAAGAGAGTTCCACAAGGGAAAGTCGCCTCCTTTGGTAAAAGGCTGCAGCATCTAATTCTGTCCACCTTCTCTTAAAGGTTAGAGACAAATGGAAAGCCATTTCAAAAGGGTGGAAATGGGGGTAGGTGAGGGGATTAAGTTTGACTCCCTCCAGAACCACCCTGAAGGATCAAGGTCTGTCTCAGTCTTCCTTAGGGCTCAGGCTAGCTGGGGGTCTGATGAAGGGGTCCCCTTACCTGAAGAGGGAATCTGTAGCATGCAGAAGCAATAGATGGCCAAGATGGAAGGGAATTGAGGAACAAGGTGTTTCATCTTCAAAGCCCAGTTTCTCTTTGCTAGCCACAGATGTAGTCGGCTAGGCCAGGAGTTGAGCATTTCCTGAAGTTCCACAGGCAGAGGCAACACTCTGCCCTGCTTCTGATCAGGCCCAGTGGAGAACGTACCTTTATTTGCAATGCCCCAGAGCCCATTGGCTGAGCACCAATCAGTTTTGCGCAGAAGGACCCTGGCTTTCTCATAAATGTCATGCTGGGCCCTTATTTGTAGAATAATATCCTCCTGGTGTAGGCATTGTAGAGAGTCATCTTTTTCAATCCAGCAATAAAAATAAAAAGTGGAGACTCATAATTGTTATTCTATAGTGGTTTGAGAAACATTTCTGACTCCAGAAAGGCTTTTTCTCTTTTTTTTAATCAAAGAACTGGACATAAATCTATATACTCTTGCATGACGAAGTCTTATTTCCTAAGAAGCTGTTTATTTTCCACCATTAACAAAGGACTTTTTATAGTCTTTGGTGCATCTGAGAACAAAATTTGGAGTCCTAGATATAATATTACAAGAAACTCAAAAGTTCAAGTAGATTTTTTTAAAATCATGGTTGGAAATTAGACTCCTTAAGGTTTCTCCACACTCATTTCCATGAACAAGTTAAATATTTCAAATTAAATCAGTATGCAAGAAAATGAGTGTTTATTAATAATAATAATATTTCCTCTACTGAGCTCCTATTTAGGATTTCACATAAGCTAATTCATGTACTTCTTACAGAAAATCCATAAGGAATGTATTATTATTCCTAACTTCTTATTATTCCTAAATTATTATCCTAATTTTATGAATGGGAAAATTGAGGATGAGAGAGAATAAGGAACTTGCCAAGGTCACCAAGCCATAATGGATGCAGAGCAGGGATTTGGATACTTAAGGGTATCTGAGCCCAGTCATGTTTGTAAAAGTGTGGGATTTTTAGTTAATGTGTTCATTTTTTTGTAAAAAGACCCTCCTTGATAGGGAATTCATTCAATCTGTAGATAGCTTTGCATGGTATGGACATTTTAACAATAGGCTATTATGCTGAGTGAAATAAGTCAGACAAAGACAAAGACTATATAATTTCACTTATATGTGAAATCTATAAAACAAAACAAACAAACAACAACAATGACAACAAAACCCAGAAAGAGATAGACTCATAAATACCATAAATACAGAGAACAAACTGGTGGTTGCCAGAAGGGAGGAGGGTTAAGGAATGGGAGAAACAGGTAAAGGGAATTAAGAGGCACAAACTTCCACTTACAAAATAAGTAAGTCATAGGATGAAAAGTATAGCATAAGGAATATACGGAATAATATTGTAATAATGTCATATGGTGACAGATGGTACCATGGTGAACATTGTGTAAGGCATAAAGTTGTCAAATCACTATGTTGTACACCTGAAACTAATATAATATTGTGTGTCAACTCTACCTCAATAATAAAAAATGTTAAAGAGCCTCCTTGAGATTAGATATGGAATAGAAAGAAGGAGAAAGAATGAAATCTTCTGTCTTGCAGAAAGGGCAACCTATATAAGGCATATATCAAATAAATATCCTTTTATCATCATGCATATCTTTAATTTTTGCTCTTTTAAGGATTAGGAGGTAACTAACAATTGTTGAAAGTTTACAATGTGATTAGGGGCGCCTGGGTGTCTCAGTCGTTAAGCGTCGGCCTTCGGCTCAGGTCATGATCCTGGGTCCTGGGATCGAGCCCCGCATCGGGCTCCCTGCTCAGCGGGAAGCCTGCTTCTCCCTCTCCCACTCCCCCTGCTTGTGTTCCCCTCTTTCACTTTGTCTCTCTCTGTCAAATAAATAAATAAAATCTATTAAAACAAATAAAAGTTTACAATGTGCTTAAAACATGTTAATCCTTTACCTAAGTCATCTTATGTCATTTTTTTTCAATGAATGGAAGTTTTAAGAATAATTTTGGGTGGGAGTTGCTCAGAATACACTGTTTATTTATGACTTAAAATGTGATATTTTGCCAAAAAATTTCTAATTCATAAGGGACTGGGAATTATAAACTACTGGATCACCATAATATTTTGTTGACTTCCTTGAGATAGCAATAAATAGAGATTTCTATTTATTACAGTATTTACCACTGTAGTTCAAGGAGAATAACCTAAGGTCTTCAAACACCAGGAAGAGATGATGTCTTTGTCTTGAAATGCACCCACTGTCCAACTCCAAGTCTTTACTAAATGAATAGGAAAAAAGGAATGATTGTTTTTTGAACATAAACCACCTATCTATACAGTATTAAACACAATTACTTATGGGCATTTTAGACACAACACACACATAATAGCAAAGGTTTGTGGCAGTTCTACTGTCAATCAATAAATATTTTTTAAACATTTGGTCTGTCTCTATCATGAACTAGGTGCTCTATGCACAAACATACATTTTTCAAATAAACCTATGTGGTAACTCTGATTTGTATCAATTTGATTTTGTTTCTTTTGCACATTTTGCACACATTATTTCTCAGATATTCGGAATAGAAAATAGAAGTATTATTTTTTAAGCCATTTTTTAAAAAAAGATTTTATTTCTAAATAATCTCTACATCCAACATGGAGCTCAACTCACAACCCCAAGATCAAGAGTCACATGCCTCACCACCCACTGAGTCAGCCAGTCACCCCTAAAAATATTATTTTTAATGCTAATTCAGAAATGGGATTATATTAATATCCCAGAAAGGGAATATGTTGAAGCCCTGATCCCCAGTGTGACTGTATTTGGAGATTTGGCCTTTAAGGAGATAATGAAGGTTAAATGAAGCATAAGGACGGGGCCCTAATCTGTGAGGATCGGTGTCTTTCCAAGAAGAGGAAAAGAGACCCCAGAGCTCCCTCTCTGAGCGCACACAAAGAAAGGGCTAGGAGAGGACACAGTGAGAAGGCACTGTCTGCAAGCTGAGGAGTGAGTTCTCATCAGAAACCATCTTACTGGCCCCTTCATCTGGGACTTCCAGATTCCAAACTGTGAGAAAATAAATTTTTGTTGTTTAAGTTACCCAGACTCTATGCTTCAGTGATGACAACCTGAACTGACCAATACGAACACACAGGGGGTTTTAGCCAATTCAGTACCAGGAAAAAAAAAAAGTAAAATAATGAAATGAAAGGTAAAATAAAAGTTAGGAACTCTCATCGTTTTAAATTATATGATTAGCTACCCAGAAAATCCAAAGGAATCAAGTAGCAAATTCTTAGAATAAATGAGTTTACCAAAATGGTCAAATTTAAAGAAAACTATTTTCAGGAAGAATTTTCTCAAACATGAGCAAAAATAAATTTTAAAATGTGTTAGAAAATGTAAATAGCTTAAAAAAACCATGGTAATTCTGAGAACTAAACCAAAGAATAGCATGTAATATATTAAAAAAGAAAACTATAAAATTTTACCAAAGAACATAGGAAATAAGTGAAAAGGCAAATCATGATCATTGACAACAAAAGTCAAGGTTGTTAAAAGTTCAACTGACGGCAAATTAATCTACAAAGTTAATGTAAGCCTTATTAAAATTCCAAAATGACTTTTTCATGGATTTTTAAAACTGACTCAAATTATTTTGAAAGAGAAAATATTGAAGAATATTCAAGACATTTTTGAAAAAAAGAAGATACTTTGCCAATGTCAAAACGTACTATAAAGCAGTAGTTATTGTTACATTGCAGTGGTCATTTTGTTACTGATCTGGTAACAAGCAAATAAATAGATCAATGGAACAGATTAAAGTCTTGAAGCAGATAATCTAAATGCAGAGTGGAGGTGGTATTTCAAATCAGTGCAAATGACTGAACTACTCTAAATGGTGTTTAGAACCTTTGGCTATCCAGTTGACAAAAATATTCACTATTTCACACCATAAATTCAAATAAATTTCAGAGGATTGATGAATTAAATCTAACACACCCACACATACACATAGGCACTTACATAAAATTCTGTATTAGAAAGAAATAGAGTATATATATATGGTTGGAAAATTGCTCTTGAGCAAAATTTAGAATAGGAAAGCCACTAAGGGAAAGATTGATACATTTTATTATATATTTTAAAATGTCTATGAAAAAGATAACCCATATTAGCAGAGAAAAGACAGAGTAGGGGAAGTATACAACAACTATAGAGATACTTATAATACAGGAGATGGAGAGAAGGACGGAGGCAGGTAGGCACAACCTAAATGTCTGGCATAGAGAAAATATTAAACTGTAGAATATCCATAATATGGAAATTCACATAACTCTTAAAAAGAAAAAGATGGATCTTTATGCATTGACAAGTCGAACACTTTGTAACATAGTGAGTAAAGCAAAAAAATTATAGAACTACATACTATATGGTCTAGTATCAGTTTGCTTTTGCTCATAATACAACCAGTCCCCACACTTAGTTGTTTAAAACAACCATTTATTTAGCTCAAAATTATGCAGGTCAGTAATTCAGGCTGGACTCAACCGGGTAATTCTTACGGTTTGGGCGGGGCTCAGCTAGTCTCAGGCTCACTTAGACATTTACATTCATCTGGTAAATAGACTGGGGTGGGACCACTTTCCATGTGGTCTTCCGGTCTCCAGATGGCTGGCTAGTCCAGGTTTGTTCCCATGCTGGTTTCAGAGTTCCAAGGCAGTGAGACTAGAAGCTAGGAGGCCTCTAGGTTTGGAACTGACACAACATCACTTCTGCATTATATTGGTCAAAGCAAGTCACAAGGCTGGTTGGATTCAAGGGGTGGGAAAAAAACCTCCATCTCTCAATGAAAGTAGCTGAAAAGTATACAGCCAATTTTGCTATCTATGGATCTCCATTTCTGTACAAGTTTTTTCAAAACAGCCAATGCAATCCACGAGTGCATACGTAGGTAACACAAAGAAAAAAGGTTAGGATGTCACACAGATACACAAATAACAGTGGTTCTAGAGAAACAGGATTGTGAGGGGGTCATAAAAATCTTTTATATTATCTGGACTTTTGAATTATCACATTGGCTATCTGTGAATTACCTATATAAGTAAAACTAAATTTTAAAAATGTAATAAACTCCAAACACGATTATGAGTATATGGGTTCATATTTAAACATCTGAACTTACATATATGAAAGAGCAACTTCTTTATTTCATTACATTTATTTTTCCGAAGTGTTTCCTTTGTTAGGCATTATTGAAAAGGTTGCGACCAGTAGATTTGTCAGTGCCAAGCCAATTTAATTAGATTTTTTTTTTTTAAATACATGAACTCACCATGTGGAGCTCCCACACCATTTGAAACAGAACTGAATGCTGATAATTACACTAAAAATTCCTCCTCCTTCCCACATCAAATTAGCTCCTGCTTTGTAAGTGGTTATTACAAAAAAACTCAGCAGACTTTTAAGGAACTGGACTTTAATCTATAAGACATTTAAAAAATGTAATTTCAAAATTGATTATAAGTTTCTGTATTCAAAGCATAACTTGCTGAGTTCTTCAGTGGCATCCCAACATCCTTCAAGAACACTCTGAGTCTAAGCAAGTGAAGATGCAGGTATGTGGATTAATGTTTGAGGGCTTCTATCCCTAGCAGGGTTTCACAGAAAGTAGTGACAGGTTTATTTGAGAGGCAGGCTGTTAAATCCCCAAAAAGCTGTTTGGTGACAGAACAGGCCAGCCTCCCACATCTGCTAGCACTGTCCCCCCTCACCTCAATATACCCTATCTTATCCTCCCAGCTTCTGAGCCTGTATCCTGTGCTTTTCTCTTGGCCTTTACATCTGCTCTTATGGTGGGCTACTTAGTGGAGGCAGGGGATGGGAGAGCTGTGTAATCTCAGGAGAACCAGGATATGCTAATAGACAATATCCATGAAAGTAAGAACTGTGGCTTTACTTACTGTATATTTTCCTTTGCCCAGAGTAACATATCAGACAGTTGGGCCAGTAACTTGTCCATTGGCCTTCAGCTCCATAAATGCCTTTCCTTATTATTCCCCTCCGATCATGAAGAGCTAGAAACCTACAAAATAAGCTCTCTTCCCAACTGGCTTCCCGGTAGTTTCTGTCAATGAGAGAAGAGGATGGAAGGAGTTTGGAAGATGGAAGTGAGAGCCATTTCTGTTGTTGTTGTTGTTTTTCCCCGCTTTGGGTGGTGCCTCCAGCAGAGCAGCTCTCCTGGGCTCCATGAGCACTCCACAAGCAGCAACACTTACACATGACTTCACCCTCCCCAGGTCCTGTGGTGTAATGAGTGCGTGCTCCTGGCTTCCTGAGGAGGAGCAGAGAGGTGATAATTGAAACAGCAGTTCTAACAGAGACCCCATTAGTCTTAGTGGCCAAGGAACATGGGCTCTGTGAACACCATTTTTCCTTATGTTCCTCCAACGCTAGGGGGAGATGGGGGCTCTCTGCAGTTGCTAATCTCTGGGTAATGTCACCACTTTTCAATTCCAGTCTCCTTTTGAGATTATTTATATACAGTTTTGTTGAGATATATCACATGTATTTAAACTATATAATCTGATAAACTTTAATATAAGTATATGCTGTGATACCATCATCACAATAAAAATAACACGTTATTTCTCATGCCCCAAAAGTTTCTCATGCTCCTTTGTAATCTCTCCCTCTTCTTCCCCCCACCACAGATCTGCTTTCTGTCATCATAGCTTGTGTTTTCTAGAATTTTATATGAATGGATTCATATAGTATGTACTTTTTTTATTTAAATTCTTTTAATCAGCATAATTAAACTGACCCACATTGCATATTTTAATCAGTCACTCCTTTTTTGTTGCTGATAGTATTCAGTTGTATATATGTATCACAGTTTGTGTTTTCATTCACCAATTTTTTTTTTTTAATAGAGAGAGAGAGAATGTACCTGCAGGGGTGGGGGCAGAGGGAGAGGGAGAGAGAAAATCTTAAGCAGGCTCCACGCCCAGCATGGAGCTCCCCATGGGACTCGATCTCATGACCCTGAGATCATGACCTGAGCAGAAATCAACGGACACTCAACGGACTGAGCCACCCAGGCACCCCTTCATTCACCTTTTGATGGACTTTTGTTTCCAGTTTTGAGCTATTACAAATAAAGCAGCTATGATCATTTGTGTAAAAGTCTGTGGATGAATATCTGATTTCATTTCTCTTAGGGAAATACCTAAGTGTGGAATGACTGGATTATAGGGTAGTAGTAAGTCTCACTCTTCAAGAAACAGCAGAGTAAAAAAAAAAAAAAAAGGAAAGAAACAAAGAGCGAGCAAAGTAATTTTCCATAGTATTATTTTACATTCCCACCAGCAGTGCATGAGAATTCCAGTTGCCCTATATCCTTGTCAACAGTTGATATGGTTAATATTTTTAACTTTAGCCATTCTACTCCTTCCAACACTTTTGTAACCAAATCTCTAAATTGAATTCCTCTGTTTACGATACCTAGAATGATTTCTTTTTTTTCTAGTTGGATGCTGATCAATACAAAAATTTAGTTACTGAACACTCAATATGTATTAGATGAATGAATGAGTAACTTATTGAGAAGAAAGCTCTCAGGGTTATGAAAGGATGAAAAATCAAGAATCATGTCTTAGCAGGCAGAGACTAGGATGAAATGAAAATATAAAGGCTCTCTTTGAAGTGTAGGCACAGAAGGGAAGCAAGAAAGAATCTCTAGCAAACACATGGGGGAAGGTTCAGAGGTATTGGATGGGAAACATTTTTTTTTAAAGATTTTATGTATTTATTTGACAAAGAGAGAGACAGAGAGAGAGGGAACACAAGCAGGCGGAGTGGGAGAGGGAGAAGCAGGCTTCCCGCTGAGCAGGGAGCCGGATGCAGGGCTCGATTCCAGGACCCTGGGATCATGACCGGAGCCGAAGGCAGACGCCCAATGACTGAGCCACCCAGGTGCCCCGGACGGGAAACATTTAACAGAGAAGAGTAAATTGCTAGTGTTTGGAAATAGAGACTAAATAATGGGAGAGTAGAGATGAGAATCAGTAATTTAGCAAGCAAGAAAGAGTAAATAGGAATGGCAATCAATAAAAAAGATAATGGCTTATGTTGAGTGGAGTTCTACATAAGGACAGATTTGAATAAGAAGGAGGGGTTTCATGGGGGCCAATTAAAATAACTGAACACAAGAAAACAGAAACAATCAGCCCACATGCCCCAGGGCAGCCTCAGGAGATCAGAACAGTGGATCTGACCGTGACCCAGGCACTGGCTCTTGTCCTCCAAGCCTGTGCCATCGGGACAGGGGACCGGGGAGGGTGGGTGGGATGAGTCAATTTGCTGTGGGCAGGTACACGGGACCATCTAGCCTGATGATTCAGGAGCTGGAGGAGAAGGGAGGACTACCAGAGTGGGAAAGAAGAGATGACTCTTGCTTGGAACGTGGAGCAACCTGAAACAGTGCCTACTTCCTCTCAACCTCACCATTTATTAGTTAATTCCACTGCCTTGTCTGTCCATGGCACCTGAAACAATGAGAGTCATTCACTCACTCACTAACTCACTTATTCATTCATTTCTTTATACATTTACTGAGCTCCAACTATATGCCAGTCACCAGGGATAGGAAGATGAGTAAGAAAGAATCTCTGGGGCGCCTAGATGGCTCAGTTGTTGAGCGTCTGCCTTCAGTTCAGGTCATGATCCCAGGGTCCTGGGATCGAGCCCCACATGGGGCTCCCTGCTGAGCAGGAAGCCTGCTTCTCCCTCTCCCACTCCCCCTGCTTGTGTTCCCTCTCTCGCTGTCTCTCTCTCTGTCAAATAAATAAATAAAATCTAAAAAAGAAAAGAAAAGAAAAGAAAGAATCTCTGAGCTCAAGGAGTTCATGGTGTAGCAGGAAAGGGAAACTCATCTATAATTCCCTATGAGAGCACCGGAGAAGGGTATCCATTGCAGGGGAGGCAGGGAAGACTCTACAGTGGAGCTGGCTTTGGCAGGGGGTTTGGAGGCCAAGTGAATTTGCCAAGCAGAGTGGGCAGAAGAGAGGCAGTAGCCATATGAAAGGTACATAGGTGGGAAAACATCAAGACAAAAGTGAAGTTTGGTGTTTCCAGAGGCTGGGACAGAAGCATGATTGATGGCTGGAGTGGGAGGAGAGATAGTTGTGGCATCTTTAGGAAGGTTCTTACGACAATGACAAAGATGTTAAGGGAAACAGAAGGAAGGGTGAAATAGAAGCAGGCTGTCAGGTTGCAGACTTGTAGAGAGAGTAGGAAATGAATGGTGTCATTTTTATAAGCTTACTCTCCCCATCTGCAAACCGAGTGCCTACCACCAGCTGGGTACCTCTGATATTAGCACTTGGCCTCACTTCTGATGGGGAAGGAAAGCAAGAAGGAGAGAATCACACTGGTTAGAGACACCGAATGCTGTACTGGAGAGCCTGATATGCCATTTCAGGAGTCGGATGTATTGTGTAGGTATCAGGAAGTCATCAAGGATTAAAAGCAGGGGGTGTTGGGATCTGACCCAGCTGTGGCTACAGAGACGCTTATTTGAGAAAGCTTACATGGAAATCTACAGGGAGCATCTGCAAGTGAAAAATAGTGAGGACCAGACCCAAGGTAGTGTCAGCAGGAACAGAAAGGAGGGGGAGGACTCAGACATTTTGACTGGAGAATTGGCAAGAATTGGGGATGACTATCTGGAGGCTAAAGGAAAGGAAGGAGCCAGAGAGGCCTCCAAGGGGTCTGGCCTGTGATGCAAGAGCAGAGAGTGACTGTCTTCACAAGACTGGGAATGGAGAGAAAACAGTGGGTTGATGTGTGGGACATGTGCCTGTGGAGGACGCAAATGGAGGTGTCCAGGATGTAGCTGGAGATGAGTGGCTCGTGCTCAAGAAGGAAACTGAAGTCACGTGTGTAGATTTAATCATCAGGAACACGTGTGTGGTGGCTGACGTCACTAGAGAAGATGAGATCGCTTTGGGAGAATGAAGGGAGTGAAGGAATAGGACACCCTGGTGAATATCAAGGCTTGAGCAGAAGCCAAGAGCAAATTGTCAGGGAAAGCACCCTGCAGGAGAAGAGTGGATTTAGCGGTGAGGTTGTCACTGGTGAGCAGCTTTGGTAGGGGCCGGGTTGAGAGTGTTCAGAGGAGGCAGATACAGATCATTCTTTCAGGAAGGGCAGAAGGTAAAGGGCTTGGGAACAAGGGAGGCTTTATAATAAATGCAGGGTGAGGGAGACGTGAACGTGTAGATAGGCAAAGGAGAGGAAGCAGGGGAGACAGGGAAGAGAAAGGAAACTGAGGAGCCAAAGTTATGGAGTAATCAAGAGGGATATAATGACAAGCCAAGAGGAAGAATGAGTCTTCTACCCCTGAAACAGGAGGGAGGGAGGTAAAGACACACTCAGATCTGGAGGTGGTAGGAAAGAATTTGAGCAGGTCACATGATGGGGAACTTCTTTCTATGTAAAGAAGAGGCTACGTTACCTAGTTGGAGGCTGGCGGGAAGAAGCAGGGAGCCAGAAAGGGTAAGCTAGCTGCTAAAACTCACATGCTTCATATCCAATTTGTTGAATTCTCATTCTACTTTTTCCTACTCTATATTTTAAGTTGTTTTTTTTTTAAGATTTTATTTATTTATTTGAGAGAGAGAGAGAGCGAGAGCGAGCGTGAGCTGGGGGAGGGGCAGAGGGAGAAGCAGACTCCCTGCTGAGCAGGGAGCCCGATGGGGGACTCCATCCCAGGACCCTGAGATCATGACCTGAGCCGAAGGCAGACACTTAATGACTGAGCCACCCAGGTGCCCCTGTATTTTAAGTTTTTAAATATATTAATAAAGCAGGTCTGCATTATTTCTCACAGTGCTAAGTAAAGAAAATCTAAGTCCTGAAATAACAGACCCTTCTAATTGCGGGTGAGAGAAATCTCAGCTAGTTAAGAAGAAAATATATCTTCTAGCTGAAACAAACAAAACGAAAACGCAGAGACGTATCCTTTGACATCTTTACGCTTGTCAATGTTATTTCTAACTCAGGAGTAATAAAACATCTGAATTTCAGAGGTTGTTGCTATGGCTTGTAGATAGATGTAACTGTAGCTTCCAGGAAGGTGGTGATCCTCATTGGTCTTATTTAAAAACGTGTGGTTCTGGTAATGTTCCATTTGAGACATGTTTTTCTGAAAGGCATACATATTTGTGAGTCTCCTAAGTCAGAAGAGGGTTATGGACACTCCTCTCATCTCTCATTCGTGCAAAGGTAAGAAAATAATAATAATGATAATAAAACTAACTCTATGATTCTTTT